CGCTTTCGCTTCCATGCCCTTTTTTAAAATGGCCAAACTAACTCGAACAAACTTTATTTTCCAAACCGCTTGTTGATGCATTTTTTTAATATTTCACCGCTTGAAAATATATGTGGAACTACTAGTGGGATTACTAGAGATCTAGATAATTTTTAATTATAATGCTACTAATATAATTAGTATTGAAGATTAGATACATTTGCCAATTGCCAGTAAAACAATATTTTCTTTCGTAAAGTCAGTTCTATAACGTTATATATTTGAATTTTTGAATATTGGATAATTTGTCGCTTTTTCGTCATAGATTTGTATTTGAAAAAAGACATTTGTAGCACAGCTTATACAATACAGCTAAAACACTCTCTTGGCGGCAACGGTTTGCGTCGATTTCGTCGCGCATCGCTTAAGCTCCGCCTTCGAAGGGAAAAGACGGTTTTGGCGTTCAGAAGCGTACTTAGGCAAGGTGTTGAGTCGTGCGTATAATTTCGTTGATTGTATAATTTCGTGGAGCCTATAATTTCGTTGATTTTGTTTGAGTTAAAGGTACTGTTATTATTTTGGTGACTCTTTAGCTGTGAGTAGAATGAGTTTGTGCAGTCAAAAGCTGTTTTAATAAGGGTTATACCTGCAAGAAAACATTCTTTAGTTTTCCCAAGGACCCAAACCGATAAGTACTACATTATAAAAACTTTTCATTGTTAAAAATATAATTTATACAGGGTGTCTCATTAGTGCGTTATTGTTCATTATTTTGTTGTAGACACGCAAGAAAGTTTTAAATAAAAGTTATATGGATTTGAAAAATACCTACATATTTTAAAAATATCTTTGGCTATACAGGGTGTCACGTTTTTGCCTGGAAAATTAAAATGTATGTTTTTTAAATGGAACACTTTGTATTTTATTTTATGATGAAATTATTAACACCCTAAATTATTGTAAAGACGAATTGCTACAGAAAAATTTTATCAGGTATGTGTGTGGTTACCTTTTAATAAAAGCCTTGCGGATCCACTCCTGCGATACCTGTCTTAAATATAACAAAGATCACGTTGAATTAGACGATTTTTCTTTTTATTGCTTTTAAAAGGCATATGATAACGCCAATTCAGATACATTTGGAAATCTGCAACTGTCAAATGATGAATTTGTAGAACTAATATTCAATATTGAAAAGATATTTTAAAATAATTTTGAAGAATTGGCTACAAAAAATAACATTTGTACCACACTTTTAGAATTAATTAACCCAATACCCTTTAGTCATCCATGCTAACGTTTTCCAAAAGAATAACTGATTTTATTGTATGTTTAATCTCAATAACTAAAAAATATACTGACAATTAGTTTGACAGAATTGTCATTTATTTAAAATTTTAAAAATAATAGCAGTCGGTTGATCAAAATATGAACGGTGATTGGCGAATTTATTTTTTTTTGCAGTGTTCTCACTACCTAGAATGGATATGAAATATATTCGTTCAATAGAAGGCAATAGCATACTTTTTCGTTTTGTAATCTGTGCATGGATATTAGCCAATCTACGCACATACTACAAAACGAAAAATTATGTTATTGCGTTTAACTACGAATATATTTTATATCCATTTTAGGTAGTGAGAACACTTTAACAAAATTAAATCTACAAATCACAGTTCATATTTTGGTCACCCAACTCCTATTATTTAAAAATTTTTAAATAAGTGATAATTCTGTTAAACTAATTGTCAATATATATTTTAGTTATTGATATTAAATATACATTAAAATTTTTGTGTAGACTCGATAAATAATAGCATTTTTGTTTTTATTATGTCCACATTTAAAAAAAAATAAATTTTAATCAAACTACATGATACTAATTTAATTACGAGTATTAAAACTAAAGTCCTGAAAGTTTCGGTGAAGATGAGGACAGAACATCTGCCTTCCATGCGAAAAGCCCGGGATCGAATCTAGGCCGAGGACTAATTAATTTTTCATGTTTATTTTATTTTATAAATTAGTCAACTTCGTAAATCATTTTAAAATTAGTTATTTTGTCTAAATAACCTAAAATAATTTTTTAAATTTGTAGATTTTCGTTAGTGGGTCGTAGAAAAAATATACTGACCATATCGAGTGGATTGTTCATATCACAATCAGACGATTGAGTACTCCGCCTACGACGTCGTGCTCAAACTTCGTCTTTGTGTGATATGGCTATCATATCCACCCTTGTTGAACAAACTACAATTTATTTGTTTTCTTGGTTTAAGTTTTACATCAGAAATAAGAACTAAATTAATTTACTTTTCAAGTTTTCTTGTAAAAATCGATATTACTTTCTCCAAGTACAAATTTAGTACCTACCTAAAATAAGTACTAATTATGTAATATCGTGTAATATTGTAATTCAAATTTCACATTACTATAAAGTTTCAAAATTCCCTACTTCGGTATGGTCAGATAAAAATTGAATATATTATATTAATAAAAACTGTTAAAGTATTACTTCTACAAATCTGTATTTCAATTAATAAGAATACATCTAAATATAACCAATATTGTTAAAATAAAAGCACAAATTCTTTATAATTCCAAAATACCATAGAGTTCCCAGACCTCAGTCGAAGCATTCGTTTATCTAGGTATAAACCCTTTGCGCGAAGAGTAACACTTGCCAGAGACACGGGGTACCACTTGATTTGCATCCACGAGCGTGACACATTTCTTTAACAATTGAAGCCCTTGGTGTAAAAAGGATCCAAGTCACAATTTGTCGTGAAGTGACTGTTTTAGCTCAAAACATTTGTTAACGAGGATTTTACTAGCCACATACAAATTATTTTACCTCTAATCCGAAAGATGTGCTATTTTTCGTAATATTTATATTTAAATAATTTTTTTAATTATATTTGACAGATTTAAAACAAATTAAAAATTTAATTTCCCAAAACTTACTTAACATGGCATGTAACCAACCTTATTACGTCAAGGTTTTCAATTTTTTCAATAATAAAAAAAATTGCTTAATCTGGGCCAGACTTTTCCCTTTAATCTAACAGAGATAGCACCATTCCGTCTTGCTTGGTTCTCGACCGCCAGATCAAAGACGCCGACACGGAGTTGTGGAGCTGTATTGTATAAGCTGTTTGTAGCTTGACCTTTTTCAAAAATAACCCGTGTATGGTTATACTTGACGGTCACCAATAATTCTAGAATAGCCAATTTTATCATTGATATACTGTTTTTTATTTATCAATTTAAGGAAAAAAATGAATCCCACGAAATAACTGTATATTATTTGTAAAGTATAATCGATATTATATCAGACATACATAATTTAAACTTTTTGATCTACGCTCAACTAAATTGGTCTAATTTCGTTACAACAAATTCAATTACCGTCCGCCCAAAACAAGAAACGTATTTCCCCGAAAGCAATTTGGGAAATGAACCTTCCATTGGTCGATGGCCGAAAAACATTTGACGAAAATAATTAGAAAACAATTAGACGGCGGCCGGGCTGCCATCCATCAATCAAACCGGGTCCCTGGGGATGCACAACGCCGCCGCGTCGAAACATCACGGGAACGCGGGCTCTCCCGGTCCCCAGGAGGCGATGTTCTCTTATTTTCCGGGTTTTCCGGCGGGGATGCCCTAAAAAATGAACTCGGAGGGTCGTGGAGGTTGGGGTGGAAACGAGAGAGCGGTCGAAAAACTGCGATGCTTATCTGATAATTGGATGATAGGATAACGGTGTTAGAATTATAATGTTGCCAGTTACTGACAAGCGACAGTGATGTCGTATATTTTGACTGGAAGCTCCTCGCATCCCAATATATGATTCTGAATACATATATGTATTCTGCAGTAATAAATTAATTTTTAAAATATTTTTGAATAATGGAAAACACTAAAAACAATCGAGAAATACACTGAAGTAACACTCGAATACCGCGCTCGAACACACGACACGAATCTTTTATCAGTTAAAAAACTTATCACAATTGCTTCCCCAAAACCTTGGAGAAAAATATTTGTTTATTTGTTTTTCGTAAAATACCTATTATGATAAAAAAATCAATGGACCTCAGAACTAAAAAGAAAATGGGGTTAAATATGAACAGAGTAGAAAACAAAGAGAAACGAGGAACCAGGAACCACTAATGGAAGAAATCGTAAATACGAATGTGAAAGAAAATAAGGAAGAGGAGCAAGGAATACAACCAAATAGTGAAGACGAAAGAAACCAAACTATAATAGCATATGGGGAATAAAGACAGACAAATTAAAATTTCGGGATTAGAACAAGAAGATATATCTATGGTGTTAAAGAAGAAAAAAAAAATGAGCAAAATAACGCAAAATTTGTCGATACTGATGAAACAAATGGAAATTATTGAAAAAGTGGAGAAGAGCAAATATTTAAAAAAAATATATAAAAAGGGCAGGTAGGACAAAGAAAACAAATGATAGGAGAGAAAGACATAAAAATAAAGTTACAAAATAGCCGAAAGTATTAAACAGATGGTCTAAAAGCAAGAAAGTAAATAAATTAGTCCGAAACATAAACGTCTTAAAAGAAGAAGTATAAAATTTTGGCGGTAGTAAAATTCCTTGTTATTAATTGAAGAGGTGACTGCAATAATCAGGCAACCCCATTTTTACAAATTTATGAAAAATCGAAAAAACCTAAAAAATTCAAATTTTGTTTGTATCAGATTAACTGTTTTCTGTGGTAAAAGCATGTAAAAATAGAAGTTTTGACGTAGTTTTTGTAAATAACTATAAATATATAAATAAACATAAAAAAATGGAGCTGCCTGTTTTTTTGCCAAAAATATACAAAAAAATAGACTTGCGTTTATTTATACGTTATTAGGATACAAAAAGTAAAAAAATCTCAATAAAATGTCCTTATTATATTATAAAAAAAAACAAACTAACAAATGGAATATGAAAATACAAAAAAACAGGTAATTTTCTTCTTAGGTTATTGATTTTCATCTCCTCTTTTAGATGTCTGGCATTCTTGTGTCTCTGCAGGTAGGTACAAGTTGGTAGTACCACATTTCAGCATCGCCAACATACTGTCTGGCCAATTCCATAACATTTAATAGCTTATACTTTTTTAAAGGCAATGGAGCATTATAAACCTTATTTTGTACTTCTGGAAAAATCGGTAAACAAGATTTCTTTAGATGAATAAAATCTTCAGTGACTACACCATTCGCTGACTCTGAGCACGTAACAGTTTCCTTATGTTCATCACTAAATTCAATAACTTTATATTTCGATGTGGTGAATTTTGCACCAGAACTATTCTTAATATTGCTTTTCTTGAAAAATGGCACAAGAACTTCTTTATAGTTTAAAATCATATCTTGTCTAACAGTTACAACAATTAACTTCTTACTGGTGTTTTTAATCATGCGACCCCGTTCCTCTGGTAGATAAACTCTTTATTTCTTTTTTCTTTTTCGACTAGAGCAAACGACCTGTCGCAGGGCAAAAAACTATACCCAGGTTCTGGGTAACGATGTCTTATTCTCTTAAATCTTCCTTGTAACAGAATAGTTTGCCAAAACTGAACAAGAACGGAGTTTTTCGTTCATTTGAAAAAGAAGTTGTACTTCGAAACATGTCATGTATAGTGTATTAAATTTTTTAATTTTTATTTCTTAAAATAAAAGTTTTGTGAAAATCTACCAATTTTGGTTTGACTCATTCAAGATCATTTGGAGATTTCCGACCTGTTATTTCATCAAAAACATAAAAGTAACTGTTCGAAACTCTGCCCTTATTGATGCAAAATGGATAAAACCAAAACTGGCGCTTGTAGAAAACGTCACCAGAAGGAACATGTGGCAGGGGCATGTTTTGTTCAAAATCAAATGACATGACTTCAACTGTGGGATCTTCCTTAGCCATAGCAGTATTTTCTTTTAAATCTTTATAGAACGTATCAGCTTTGGTCAGGTGCACTTTTTTCCAAATTCAATGTGTTTAGAGTTTCATCATCTTTGACACATTTTATTTTGTTTTCAAGGAAGTCGTAAGTTTTGTTCTAAGGTGGCCAAAGCTTAAATTATAATGTTCCACAAATACACGTCGATAATATGTGTATGAAACTTTTGGCTTAAACTCTGGTGTATCTAGTAGATTATGTTGATCTGGCTCATACTTTTTACTTACTTTCCTATCTGTATACAGATATAAGGAAAGTACAGGAATCATGATTTTTTTCGAACTCGAATTTTCGACGGATTTTTACGTTTTGAGGTCCCCTGAATCCGTTTTGACTATTTTCGCGATGTTGTCTTTGTGTGTGTGTGTGTGTGTGTGTGTGTGTGTGTGTGTGTGTGTGTGTGTGTGTGTGTGTGTGTGTGTGTGTGTGTGTGTGTGTGTGTGTGTGTGTGTGTGTGTGTGTGTGTGTGTGTGTGTGTGTGTGTGTGTGTGTGTGTGTGTGTGTGTGTGTGTGTGTGTGTGTGTGTGTGTGTGTGTGTGTGTGTGTGTGTGTGTGTGTGTGTGTGTGTGTGTGTGTGTGTGTGTGTGTGTGTGTGTGTGTGTGTGTGTGTGTGTGTGTGTGTGTGTGTGTGTGTGTGTGTGTGTGTGTGTGTGTGTGTGTGTGTGTGTGTGTGTGTGTGTGTGTGTGTGTGTGTGTGTGTGTGTGTGTGTGTGTGTGTGTGTGTGTGTGTGTGTGTGTGTGTGTGTGTGTGTGTGTGTGTGTGTGTGTGTGTGTGTGTGTGTGTGTGTGTGTGTGTGTGTGTGTGTGTGTGTGTGTGTGTGTGTGTGTGTGTGTGTGTGTGTGTGTGTGTGTGTGTGTGTGTGTGTGTGTGTGTGTGTGTGTGTGTGTGTGTGTGTGTGTGTGTGTCTGTATGTCGCATAACTCATGAACCGATACACAGAAAAACACCAAATTTTAAACTGAAGCTTTATTCCAGCGTCTAATGAACTGATTAGATTTTGGGCAGAGTCGGAACATCTGGGAGGTACTTTATAGGTGATCATTTTTATATTTTATGGAATATATCTGTTATTTACGTTTGGAGAAGAAAATTCTTCAAATGACAGTTACTTCTAATATAATTGTCTATAATATTTGTTTTATACAAAATTTTCCTAAAATGGTCCGTGTCCGAGAAATTTGACAAAATGTAAAAAAAATATTTTTTTATAAAAATTGTTCAAATAAAAGTTGTTTGTGACATAATTCTCTATAATTTTTATTTAATACATAATTTCTCTAAATGGACCGTATTCGAGATATTTGAAAAAATGTGTAAATTTCGAATTTTGAAGAAAACTCAAAAACGGATAAAGAAAAAAACATTAAATTTTAAACTTAAGGTTTATTTCAGCCTGACGTGAAATGATTAGATTTTGGACAAAGTCGGAACATCTGGGGGGGGGGTACTTTATGGGATGCCGTTTTTATATTTTATGGAATATATCTGTTATTTATGTTTGGAGAAGAAAATTATTCAAATAAAAGTTACTTCTAATTTTATTATCTATAATTTTTGCTTTATGTCAAAATTTCCTGAAATGGTCCGTATTCGAGAAATGGACCGTAATGGAAAAGTGCTAAATTTAAATTTTTCAGTATTTTCGTTTTCAATGAATATCTATAGAAAAATGTTTCGAGGTAGATGTATGTGGACAATGTATATATTTAGTTTATCCTCTAAACATTTATAGAGATGCTCCAATAGGTTGTACAAAATAACCGGAAAAAGCCTATAATAACTAGATAGGAAAGTCATGTGTTGGACACTTCAGATTTTTTAAATACAATCTGTGCATGAGCCTTAAATTCAGTTCGGATGAAATATATCGTCTGTTTATATTATCATTTCTGCTATAATGGCTTTTTCTTCTTGGAAAACTATTAGTATGGTCCTCAATGGACTTGACAATATGATCTGGGATTTTATTTGGTCTAGTTTCATGGCGTCCTCACATATCATTTGGTCCTACTATATTTGAAGCCATATGAGTCGCTATTCTTTCCACTCTGCTTTTCGTTATTGCGTGAATGTTCATAAATGCCGTTTTACACACTCTTTTTTCAAATACTTCTCTTTTTATTTTATACGAAAACGTTTGGCTTCTTAGAACTCCACCACCTCCTTTTGGTCGCCTTCTTTGAACGTTTCTCGTCTGTATTAAACCGACTGAAAAAAAAAAGTCATCAAACCATTATTTCTAACTCACTTGCTTTTGAAATATGGCAACACCGCTTTTTGCCTAGAAAATTTATAATTTAGGGTGACACTACGGTATCCGCCCCGGGTGCCAACGCCAATGCCTAGAGTGACTTAGAATATCAAGAAAATGGCAAACTGCTTGGCAACATTATTTTAGTAAGTTTTCTTTAAGTTTTTTTTTAACATAGACATTTTACAATGATATACATGTAAATAACTTTTTCTTACCTAAATTTAAATCTTGCTACTCTTTATCGCCTATTCCATAAAAAGACTTAAAAATTTCATCAAGCATTTCTTCGCTTATGCCTTCAAAGCATTTGAACCTGCACTGACACGGAACTCCTCCACTGGGTTTCCTTTAGCATTAGTGTACTCTTCACCATTAACTCTTTTTAATTTTCTTTGGTTTCTCATCCAAATCTTCGGATTACTGCTTCTCTTTTTAGATTTTTTATTTGCAACCAGTCCAGACGTAGTTGCAACATGGCTTGCGTCAACATTGTTTAAAGGAGGTTTTTCTTCATCACTCTCACTTGATTCGGAATCGGGAATGAAATCCGATGACGAATGTTGAAACGGTTCATTGTCACTTGAACTGAGTTCACTTGCCATTTTAAATATAAATAATACTAAATTATGTAATACAAAAAATAGATACAACAGCGGGTACCTATAACAACACCTAGATCTGGGCGGCTATCCTCGACATTCGCTAAAAAAACGAACCGTTTTCGAAAGCGAATGGGTGAAAAGCGAGTATTTTTAGAAATCTATATTCTTGACTGGCGTTCTATGAGCATTCGTTTTTTAGAACGTGTACGTTTTTAACAAGCATATAATATGTCTGGCATCACTGTAAACTGTCTATATGGCTGAATTCAAGTAATATGCAGGCTATAAAAAAATAAGGATTATGTAATTTAATTACAACAAACCAATTGTAAATTTATCGAATGATGATTTCTAATCACATAATATATCAATGTTCAAGATAAACTGAATCGTTAATGTTTGGCAGAAAAATAGCTATACGGGTGCAGTCAATGCAACCTATAATTCTAGGAAACTCGTACGCCATAAAAAACCTAGTTTTTATGACACAAAGTTAATTGAAATAATTTTATTTATCTTATTCAGTTCTTTAATATTTTGTGGCAATTTTACACAGCAAGCAAATTAATATCTGTAAATAAAAATTACATGAATTAATAATTAAATTCTTACACGGTAAGATATAAAAAATATTCATTCGATATCCATTAAATTCAAAAATTAATTCTGCCTCTGCATGTCTGAATCTTTGAGAATTATTATCTTCCAAGTTTTCTAATTGTACAATTATTAATAATAATTGAAAGAAATTCTCAGCTATTAGACATTTTAGTATTGCAAACCATATAAGAAATTAGATACTTTTGTAGGTATTAATAAAAAGTAGTTTACCTAGAATTTGTTAAAATCAATCAATATTATTAGACATCTTAAAAGTGACATATAAGTGACATTGTCTAAATCCTTGAAAACATGCACGTTTTATCAAAAACGTGTGAAAAATTCCGCTCGCTGTAAAACACCCGTTTTAAAAACCTACACGCTTTTAAAACGAATGTCGAGAATAGCGAATAGCTCGTATGTTGCTAAAGCGTATACGTGTTTTAGAAAACGATAGCCGAGGATAGGGCCCCTGAACTAAAACAGCGATGTTGCTCAACCGCACGAGCAGCTAGCGCGCGACGGCGCCGTATGTACTTAGGATAGAAAATGATCAGGACCGTATTATTAAGGACTGTTTATAAATAGAGTTAGATTAAAATTATTACATAGGATTCAAAAGAAACTACGAATATATATAAAGGAATCGATATTTTTTATATTCCATGCATATTTTCATACATTTCTATATTTTCAATTAAAGTTTGCCAACAGTTAGGCGCAAAAACCAGGCAGTTCCAGGAGTTGCCCGGTTTTTGCTGCAAACCGAGAGCAAGGCAGCTCCAAATAACGTTGCCATTTATGTACTGTTACACGAAGACACCTGATTGTTGCAGGGAACGATCGGCCTATTTTTTTAAAGGGTAATTCAGTAAAAATCTTATTTTTGTAAAAAAAGTAGAGCTGCCTGGTAATTGCAGCCATCCCTTCAATTGATCTCAAGTGTTGGTATCTCTTTTTTAAAATAAAGTTCGTTAACTTTTCTTCTTATTCCGCTTTAAATTTGTTCAGTAAACTCCACTTTTTTCTTACCTCTTGCATTTTTCTTTGAAAGTAAAGGAAAAAATGTGATAATAAATAAAGAAGACATAAAAATTATACAAGAAAAAAATATTCATAATTCGTAAGGGGATATTTGAGATTTGTTTCTATATTTTCAAATTATCGAATTAAAAAGGAGATCGAGAAGGAAAATCATTATATATGTACAGCCCCAGCTCAGTTATTTCCTTGAGTAAACATTAGTAAATAAATAAAAATCAATTTTCAGCATGATAGAAATATAGTTTCTGAAATCGGAATCTTACTGCACTGAATTATATACGACCGGTATACCATCACAAATTAAAACACAGTTCTCTACTTTTCACACTCTTCCCCCAGCTTTTTTAAAATACCGTTTTAATACTCTTTAAGGCGCATAAATCCGAATTACGTAAAAATCTTTTTCGGCCCATCAGCGCGTCGGAAAAGTGCAATTCTTTATCCTTCTACCTAGCGGGGAGCCTCATCCATTGCCATGGCCATGGCCATCGAGTAGCAAGAAGGAGCAGAGAGCAGGAGTTGAGATGGATGGGCGACTAAAACCCCGGATAATTAAAGGGCCATATATAATCCGCGGTGAAGGAGGCCGAAGGGCAGAAAGGGACTGCAGAGTTATTTATGGGGCAGCGTATATCAAGAATCAGTGGATAAAAGTCGAGAAAATGTCAGCGAATAATGTTTTTATTAAATACTTCTCGAGGGTGGTAGGTGTGTACGCACCGGTTGTTAATGGAAGAAATTTATTTATTATATCTTATTAAATTGAAATAAGATATTTTTTAATATTAAATTATACCTAATTTATTCGCCCTCTCATTATTCACTTATAAATCCACCAATATAGTTTAAGTCAACTTGCACTTATCTTATTGAACGTTTTATGTTGATATTGACATCTCCTCGTATGTCCCAACGATGGGTAAATAAGCAACCCTGTATATTATATTTTCATTATATTCGTTGTTTTTCATGAATTTACTCAATGATAAATTTAAAAAAAATCGACTATAAAAAAACCTTTCTTGCACACACGGCCCACGTCTGTCGAACTGGCCTTTTACATAATAATATATTAGTCTAACGGTCCCAAAGTACCTACGGGTTACATACAGCTACCGGCCTACTCATACCTATCTAGAAGACCACCCCGTCGAAATTACCATTCTACAATTCTTATCGCGTGCTCCATTCTAATAATATTATTATTACTATTTCTCCTACGTTGTTTGGAACGCACCGTGGTTTTTACTGTAATCTAGCTGGACGTAAATATCGTTTTAACAATTTTCATATTCTAATTCAAAGAATTTTAACTATTTATATGGCATACAAATAAAATAAATGAATTGTATAGTTCCTATATCTATCTTACTAAACAATTTATGATTGACATGAGTATTATAAATGAATGGTAAGTTCAAATTAAAATTTTTCCTAGGCTGTATGTTTGTCGATGTGGAAAGTAAAAAAAAAGTGAAAAAGCCTTAGAAAATGGGATAACTGTACAGTATAAGTTTTTATATAAATATTGTCAGAAAAATAATAAATTGTCACATTGGAATTTGGCTATTACTATAAATCAACATATTAAACCTATTTGGAGGTTTAAATTAGATACAGTCTAGAAGGGAGCTATTCCGAACAATACCATTTCAATTTTTTAAGGTAGCCTCAATGGTAGTTGGTGCATAAGTGCTGTAGAGCTGCAGAACTGTCAAAAAATGCAAGTATATCATCTAAATTTCACAGAAATTATTTTAGACAATCTACAATATACGTAAAATAGATTTTATAGATAATCTCATTAATTTTAATATAATTTTAATTATTAAATAGTATCTATAGCGCGCGAATTAATCCTACTATCAGTTCATACCTGAGAATAAACAAAAACTCGCCAAGATCATATTAATCTCTTAGATGGGTCGCTTCAGGACGGTTTGTACACCGCTGTAAAATAATAATTGTGTATTTTTGGGGAAGCTGGAAGTTGAATCTTGCAAAACACTTAATGACTTTAACCACAAGCTGTCATTGGGAATCATTACTTTTCTTTGACGTGAATCCTTAAAAATACACAAAAACTAAATAAATTGTTAAAATTCAGTTTATTACATTATTAATTTACTGTTAGTAATAATTAAGTAATGAATATTTAAACATTCTATATAGATCGCCCTCCATTTCCATTTATACGATATATCACACCTTTTACCGAAATTACCGGGACCCTCCCCCATAAAACAATCATAAAATCAGCAATTAACCCATAAATAACGGGATTTTCTGTAAAAAAGCAGTGGTAGAGCACAGCGTTCCCTACTGGCGACCTGTCAATCCGTAGATCTACGACCGCCATGTTAATTAACATCGAATATTAAGTAGAACAACGCGTAGACACGCATCTTGCGTTCGTTGTTTGCACGGTGGTCCCTATTTCTATCTTAACGGACAAATATTTAGGTAAAAATGTTTTAAAATTTACGAAAACAATGTTTTTCGGCATTAAAATAGTATATTATATTACTTGGAGTAGAAGGCGCTTATTATGTGTTAAGTTCAGAAGTTTACTGCCTTGAGGCTAGCCCAGGCAGTGTAATCTGAGCGAAACCCATAATAATGAATAATGAAAAATTTTCAAAACAAACAAACGTTAAATTAAATACGAGTAAGTTTAAAAATAACAGTTCCTACCTATTCGATTACAACTCTGACTCGATATGGCCTTAAGTGCCGCTTAGCTGTCTGACATTATTTGAATATGCTGATTTTCGACAGCTCTTTCATTGCTCGTTTCTGCACATTGCAAAATTGCGTGTACCTCGGTCTGAAATACCGAGGAATGTATTTCTATAGCATAGCTATGGTTATTATCAGGGTTTTTGGAGAATACTCCCGCCCCAGTGTCTTCCGCAGTCTTTGACCCGTCTGTATACCAGGTTTGTTCCTGTCGTTGGGCATTGGGTTCCCTTATGGTGATCTCCGCTCTTTCCTGTATTAAAACCTCAAATGGAGTATTAAAAGAGTACCTCTTGCTTATGTGGTCTGATCTCATGTCTAGCACGTCTCCTGTCACTAACCTTGGGATACTCATGTGACCTGGCCTAATGTCAAGATTTCCCAGTATATTCCCTAAACTGTAAGCACCTAATCTTGCCTCCCCTTATATTACATAGTAAAGAGGTGGGAGTCCTATTAGTGCTTTTATTGCAGCTGTGGGGGTTGTTTTCATTGCCCCCGTTATTGCGAGGCAGGCAAGTCTTTGTACCTTGCTTTAGCCTCGTTATTGCTTTCCTTTGCTGTGTCTCTGGCTACCACACCAAAGCTGCGTATGTTATTATCGGTCTCACCACCAT